ATGTACTGGTGGATAAATGGATGGGGAAACCTATTTTCAACATCTACTATTAGGTTTTCTAAGCGTGTCTCTTTCAAAACACTATCTTAATGCAACTGATACCTCAAGCTGAACAAGAATGATTTCTATTTGTAAACACTTCCAAGTAAACCTGATGTCAGTTCAGAGACAAATCACAGTGTGACCCATGTGCCAAGGTCAGTAAGCAGAAAGGGGCATGGGATATACAAAGGGAACTATGAAAGCTTCAAGCCCTGCTCATTGACAGTGACTTTGCTTTGAGAAAGTTTTCCCTACCTAGAGCCACAAATTTTCAGAGTCCAGTTTACAAGGGAGAGCTCTCAAAAGAAGGGTCTTCCTCCCACCCTTTACATAGGCAAGATTATTCAAGTAACAAGGCTGAACTTTCTCACTTCAGAATGTGGAATACAAACTGCCTCAACCCCAAACCTATGGAAGCCACAGAACTCCAGGATTTCCTAAATCTCCCCAGGTTGAAGAAAAATCCCCAGTGCTCCCCTGACTATTGCTGAAAAGTATTTATCACAGCTGCATTTCCCTTGTTCCAGCTTCCTCTGTACCATGCTCTCAGGTCCAAAGTCAGCAAGGTGCATTTAATTTCTCCCTCCGGACCATCCAAGCAATACTGATGACCACCTTCACAGACCACTTGCTCCTCTTCCAAGTGCTGACAACTCTCCCTCTCTGTTATAACAGTTACATTATATACTTGGCTAAATCATCATCCCCTCTTTGATTATGTCTTTGACTAGAAGTGTGAAGAAACCTCTTGACTAGACCAGAATACTCACTGAGGGATCTAGCAGGGCACAAGCAACTGACTTCTCATTTCTGGCAAGGTACCTTTACAGATGTGGTATTAGGCTGCACTAGCCCATCTGAACACACTCACCAGAGAAAGAGATGTCATTTCCTCCTGTCTTTCAGGATTATTGCTCCCCAGGCTTTTCTTCTTTCTTTCTTTTCTTCTTCCCCATTCAATTTTAGACAAGCTGTGAGTTTTGGTGGTGGTTTATGGGTTTGTTTGGGGGGTTTTCCTAAACTCAGGGTTTCAGACTTCATAGGTGGACTCGTTCCCTTGTCCTGTCTGGGATTTACAACCTGCCATAATTCACCTCTCATTGCTTTTCCACTAAGAGGGCAGCTGATACTAGATCTCCCAGTTCAACACAAAGTATTTACATATTTTGAAGTCTCAAGCAAATCTTAAGCATCTCAAATACAGTGATGATAAAAATCCTCAGTCTTGTAGGCCTGTTATCGCTTTGTATTTGACAGAATAAAACATAAGTGATCAAGGTGAAGATTAGCACAGACATCAAGGCATGTACATGTATGTAATTTACTCTCCCCCCTTCCTTTCTTAATACCAATTTCCACCCAAAGCCTGGCCTGAAAGCCCCAAATTTACATTCCCCCACAAGATAATAGCTCGCAAACCAATTCGGCTCCTTGCTTAATCAACCGCCAAGCCAGCACTCCCTCAGCTATTTAGTCCTCCTCATTTTTCAAGAGAGCTCAGGTTTATGCCTCACTCCCAATGCAATGAGCATATTGTGATGCTGCAAACAGAAAGAACACACTTGCTGGTCCTTACATACCAAAGCACCTCTTGCAGCTTCCGAAAGAGAAAGAAGGGCTCATTCAAGTATGTCAAACTACTCTCTGTGCTCATTACCTACCTATTTTTTCCCCCACATATTTGGCTTTCAGGACATTAATCCAACAACCAAATCAAGTTTATTTGTTTTTCCAAGGTGAAATCAAAGGCTGTAGAATGCAAAGGTGAACGGACACAAGACGATGCAGTTGATACAGAGGAAATATAATATAAATGAAAATAATATAAATGAAAATTACACAGAGCAACCGTAATTTAGGCTCTTCAACACCTCCTGTTTAGTGAAAAACCCCAAGGCTTTTGACTTGATATTTTATTCAATGTCAGAAATGTTTAGTTTGTGTCTCAAAATGGGATGAGATTATAAAAAAAATATGATACAAACCCATGTTACCTGCCACTAACAATCATTAAAGGAAAGTTCTGCTTTCTAAATCCCTCCAGAAGCTTGAGATGAGATTCTGACAGGAATCATGAAACTTCACATACTACCCTGTCTTCTTCCTCATTTATCTGTCACCTTAACCCTTGTGTGAGGCTGTATTAAGTCTCAAGCTTTCCTGAGAAAAATACCACAAACAAGACCCAAGGCACTTCTTTTGTATGTTATATGAGGAATGGAGTGACTCCTGCACTGCACATCACCACAGAAAAGTGACATTTCCCACAGAGCTTAAGAAGAATCTACTCTGTTGGAGGGGCCGGGTGGTGTTTGGTGAGGGTTTTTTACCAGTACTGTACAAGATGTGAGATTTCCAACGTGGTTTACATAGTTTGATGTAGTTTTACATAGCTTGTCTTCAGTGGTATACAGGGTGTTTTGAAGGCAGATAGCAGTAATGACAACGCTTCATGCCAGACTGATTGATGCCCCAAAATTGCAGCACTATGAGTGCCCTAACCCAACCTCAAGGACATGATGGGGCAGGCAGCATGGAATAAGATTTGGGAAAGAGCTCTGATGGGAAACAAGTTCTCAAACATTAGGGAAAATTTCACAGTATTAGCTCCTTTACAGCTGGAAAAAAGTATTAAACAGCAGGACCAACTAGGTTGATGATTTATCCTGTGAGCTGAAGATGGGGTCTTATCTTTCAGTGCACCCCTTCTTTTACATGCATATCCCCTAGGTGAGCTGCCTAACAAAGAAGATGGGTGAGAGCGAGCCAGAAGTGAGGCAGAGGTATTTGATGTGTGCCGGAAGGGTTATGCTGTCCCACAGAAGTGTTGCTGATGGCACATGGTGCAGGTTACTTAGAAGACAGGGGATATCATTACCTGAGGAAGTCTGGTCCAAAAGGCAAGGAAGTGGGTGGCAGTGCTCCAGAACACAACAGTAGACAGGTTATGTGACACCTCTGATGAGGATCTGGAGATACTGTGAGCAGAATGGGTACTATGAGGACCAGCAAAACCTGCTCTGTCTCCTTTTCAGCAGACCTCCATCTCCTTAAGAACTTGGTGCTCTCTTCCATCCCATCATGTTTTTAATCAGGCAAGAAGGGAGAATGCTGTATTTTTTAAACACACTTATATCCCTGAATAAGAGATGGTATCAACCTAAAATACTGAAATATCCATAGGATTATGTCCAAAAAAAATCTAATTGAGGGCACATAAAGACTTCTCCTGAAACTGGTTTTTTCCTACCCTGGCTCTCTAGTTCTATAGGTTCTCCTGAAAAAATGACTTACAGATGGTACCTATCTCTAATGTGCTCCTCTCCCCAAAACAGTAAGCATCTGCCATGCCTACTGTTTAATTACACAACAGGCTCTTGCAGGGGAAAACATTTTCAAGCCTGGAAGCTTATGCTCAAACTCTGATTACACCCAGTAGCAGGAGCTGTTCATGGGCAAGAAAGAAGTTTTCAAAGAGAAAGAAAACCAGTATTAACACACAGCAAGTAGATCTTGAGCAAGGTTTTATAGGTGTGAAGACAGCCACATTAGAATGCGAAGAGGCTGACAGGAGACAAATCTTACAACGAACTGTAAATTGTTGACCACCACTGATCATAAGCATGATGACTCAAGCCACAAAACAGTGGTAGTTTATTCAGGAAACCAACATAATCTGGCTGCACCTCTGGAACGTTAAGTGTACACCAAGTTAAAGCAGACCTCTACTGTTATTCTATCTTCAGAAATACATATTCAAGTAGTTCATCTGCAACTTTCCTGTTCTAACAAGATGCTCCCAGGAAGACTGACACCCCAAATCATTTAATCACTGAATAGTGCACTCCCTCTGCTGGCACAGCACAGATGGCACACCTCAGCAGAAGCATTCTGATTACACTCATCTCTAAGTGGTCTGTGCATGACAACACTTCTTCAGATTTACAGCTGGTGTAGCTCTGTTAACATTAAAAAGAGTCTGCTAAGTGAATTCCATAAGAGAAAACATTAATAATCCCATTCAGCCCATTGCACTTCCACTGTTTGCCTATGTTTTAATAATCTTACAGAAGCATTGTTTTAAGAGGTCCTGTCCCTCCTCGCATGGAAACAAAACACAGTTTAGACTCCCCAAGAGCCCCGTCCTAGACGAATTTAGTGTTTGACCTAATCAGAACAGCTCAAGGAAGTCAAATCTTTTGAGCCAGCTCTGAAACATCCCCTGAGGCAAAAGGTTAACCCTCAGCTACTGGAAGTGCAAGTTTTGTTATACATACTGAGAGAAAGTTATGGTTTAACAGTGAATAATCACAAGGAGTTTCTTCAGCACTCGCTGATAATGCTCTAATTGACTCCCTGTGTCATGTAAGCAGCTGCTATTCCCTCTCGCCCTTTTAGGTTTGAAATACTATGACGAAAATCTGAGGTTTTGAATAGGCCTCATGTTAATAAACAAGAGGACAGCCATATGTTTTAGCCTGAAGTCAGGTTCATTTCTCATCAGCAAAAACTTCAGTTTTAATGTTAAAAAGGGAAGGTAACTTTACTTCAAAAGTTAACGCACACTTTTGTGGGCTTGGTTTTCCTTCCTGCTCATATATTTTGCAGAAGATATTTAAGTGCCTTCTCACTGCAGGGTACAAAAACCTGAGCTGTGCAGAAAGAAACACAGATACAGGGGGAGAAGAATGAATGGTTTACAAGGACAAGAACAAGTGCTGTTCTGTGTGCATACCTCGCTCTTCCAAATAGCTAATAGCTATCTTTGCAATTAATTCTATTTCACACAAGAATCAGAACAGTCTGATCTGACAGTCATAACCTCTGGGTTACTCTAAGACAAAAACTGAACCTGTGGTCCAACAGGCGAAAGTAATTGCCCCAAACAACTCGATGTTAATTGTTTACTGGTTTTGAACTAAGACATCAAGAACAAGTGTTGGTGACGGGGCACTTACCTTACAAACAGCCAGGATGTTAATGGTGGTCATTTTGTCGATTGTCTGCAAGAAAACAGAGGCTGGGTTTTATTCTAAATTAGTTGATCAGTACTTACACACTCCAGAGGTTCAAGTGCCAGGATAACTTAAGCCTTACACTTACACATCCACCTTTACTCATTGCCTTCCTGCTTAAGTACTGGGAACAGTGATGGACTTTCAAAGCAAAGTCTGGGAATTGCTCTTGATCAAGTTTTACCTCTGATTAAGGACTCATAGTAATACAACCCAGATGTATTACATTGACACTGTATTTCCCAACACTTTTTGCAACATTTATGAACTTTATTAAAGTCTGATATTTCAGACATGTTCATAAATTAAAGTCTGCATTTTGCTCTTCACCATTTCACAACAGTGTGAAGACTTTAAGTTTATTCATCAGATGAGAAAAAATAGGATTTGGGAATTTACTCTTGTTGCTAAATATCACAAAGCTTATTTGAAGGTGAATGAAAAAACAGATATACTTATCAATTCTTAAGCAGGAAACAGAAACCCATAATAGATACAGTGAGCTACAGGGATTTTGGGAACAAAACCATGCACCACTGAAATTGTTCACAATCAGACTTTTCAGTGTACCCAACTCAATTAAGGTTGTCCCTACATTACAAACCAAAACGGTCATATTTAAGTTTCATAACAGTGTTATGGAATATGCAGCTCCAATTCATAAAGTTGCTTGCTTCCCTTCAGTCACTTAAGAACAGCCCCCTCCAGCTAAGGCAGCTCATGATCAACAGCCAGATGAGACCACAGATTGGAGCGTGGAATTGAGATACTGACCCCAGAGCATCTGTCTGAAGCAGAAATGCAAAATGAAGAAGCAAGGAAGAGTACGTAAACCCACAAAAACTGAGGCTGACATTATCTGATTTGTTGCTTTGTGTAAATCTCAGCTTTTGAACCCTTAATTGTAATCAGAAAACCTTATTATGTGGGTTCCTTAACCAAACCTGAATACTTTTGCCATATCTGTTAAGCATTTAGTGCTAACGATGAAAACATTACGAACTACCACAAAAGCACTTACCTTGTCCAGGTCTGGAATATCAAGAAAATATTCAGGATAAGCATAAGAGATTCCCACATTGTTGACTGAAACAAAAGAATGAATGAGACTGATTAGATGCCACCTGATTTCTCATGCTTTGATTAGTAACAGCTTTCAAACAATACTCTTAAAGCATTGCATTAAAAACATTCTAACCCCTTTCGCCAAGTTTCCTTCAGTGTAAAAGTACACGCACACAAGTGGAATGTGAGAGTGAATACACAAGCCATTTTAAATGCCTAAGTGTTAACTCTCTGGCTGTCTAAAAGCTGGCACATCCAGCACATCGTACCCATCCTCCACCACATTCCACAGTGCAGGGGAAGAGCAATTCCTCCTTTAGAAATGTCAGCACACAAGGTGTGAGTGTGTGAGCAACATCGCTGCACCACGGAGTTCTGCAACCTGCAGAAAGGGAGTTTCAAGCCAAAGCCACGCTCTCAGCGCCCGGCAGGGCATTGAGTCAAACTGTTTAATATCTCTTTTTTTGATAAATAAATAAATAC